CATCGTCTCTATGCAGTCGCACTGTTCAGTATTCAAAAAATTATTTTTATATAATATCAAGATCATTTAACTGTATACAATTAAATTGTATCGTACTATTATGTTCGGGTGTTCCTATAAATAGTATATAATATAATATTAACATCGTATTTTGTATCTCATTATATTATGTTGTAAGGTTATGCATTTATTATAGTACCTATGCATTTTGTGTAAGAAGTTTTGTCATGGTAATTTTGTTTTTAAGTAATGTATTATAAAACCAGTTGTTCCCTGTTATAATATAACTACAACTTCATTATTAACCATTTATGTAATACTTCATTTGATACATATTTTGATTATATTCACCCGGAATCTTTGTTTGAATGCATTTGTTTCATATTTTCTATTCAATTGTCAAATATGAATTCGATTAGCTGTAGTGCACTTAACAGCTTAAATCGTTTATTCATTTATTGGTTCTGTATATATATATATATATATCTCCTTCCTCATCTTTTCTGACCAACTTTAGGTCTATAAGTAGATATACTACCCACGTTTATCTATTCTTATACATTTTTAATATGTATATTATAATATGCAATAATATATTGAATATCAGCAGAAGCTCTGTGCTACCCTCGTGATAATATAAAATCATCGAAAAACGTAGGATTATGTTGATAAACAATTAAATTACAAGAAAACGATTTGATAACACATCACAGTATTCAGAATCGTGCATTAAAATAATCCACAAGTATAAGTATTATAAAACGAACATGTATATAGAATTATAGAATAGAGTATTATAGCTATATTGTATAGAGCATTATTTGATTATTGTCAGTCTCCACACTAAAATTATAATATACTTATATATACACCTAATATTACCTATATTTTCTAAAAGTATTTCGATACATTTTATTTATCAATTTATTATTATTGAATAATTTATGAGTTATCGTAGTCTGCTGTTCGTACAGTGCGTTGTACCTACTAATAATCGTGATGCAGTGTCGGGTCTATAAACGAAGGTCGTTGTAATGTTATTATATTTATTATAAAAATTGCATTTTGGTAGGTTACATATGTATGGAACCCCAAACGTTAACATAATATGTCGGAAATTTCTTCGACCCTTGTCGATTATTATTATATACGGCACCTGTAGACGCGTTTCGATGGAATCGGTCGGTGGTGGCAGTGGCGTCGGCTGCAGAGAGCCATAGTGTTGGCTGTGGTGTGGTGATAAACTTGGCAACGTACGACTGACTACCTACCTACCTGTGTGTATTTTTTTCAGACAGAAAAGGAGGAGAACAACAAAGACGTATAATGTATAAATGTGTGAGTGAGTGTACGTATATGATTGAAAAATCGCCCAAACACCACTGAAAGAAATTTGTCCTCACGCTCGTTTATGTGCAATGATGCTCATAAGCACACTGCACACATATTTCTGTATACATTAATAATTTCTCACATCTCCACTATCGTTGTATTGGTTATCGTCGCTCTCGTTATTAGTTTTATTGAATATTAGGCATTACATGTAGATTATATAATAATATTATTTGAATATACCTTATAAGTGATTTTTTTTTTCTTTCAAGCTTAAATGTATTTTTCTCGTAAATTTACATTTTCTATACTTACATATACACACACACACACACACACTTATATATACATATATACCTAATCTGGTCGGTTATGGTAATAATCTTCGGATTCCTTTCGTGCGGGCCATTAAATTTACATATTATTATTATTGCCCGGCAGGTCGTTTCACCGCTGCCAATCGCTGTCCAGCTTCAGCCGCCGTCGTTCTTGCGTGTGTTTTTGCTTGCGCATCCGTGAGAGAGTATAATATATGATATATATTATATATAAATATAAGTGTATATATATTTATATATAATATATTATACATATGTGTGTGTGTGTGTGTGTGTGTATACTATGCTATATACTCGGCCAGATACATTATCGACGACAACGGCTTAAGACCGTTATATTAAACGCGATCGACCTTGGCCCGTGCGTTTTAAAAAAAAAAAAAATAATTTTAATGTCAAATACGGATAACGACGATGGCGTTTCTTCTTTTCGGGTAGAAATCGAATAAGTGTTTTTTTTTCTATTCGTTTTCTACATGCATTCAATAATTATGTATGTAAAATAATAATAAAAACCACTCAGATTTTATTACTCCAGAGATTTGTTCTTTTTTAATTCGCACCTGTAGTTGTAGCTGCTGCCTTTTTTTATACTCACGAATACGGAATACTTATTTTATGCTATATAATATAATTCGGTTTGGAATGTTTTTCTTTACACCAAATGCAATTGCATGTATAAACTATTTTATGCAAATAATTTCTTTTTTTTGTACGAATTATAACTTCTAAACATGTGGCTAACATACTACGCAGGACGAACGTCAAACAATTTCAGTTAATCATATTTTCAACAACACAAATAACATTCCTAATAAATAACTCGTTAAAACCAATTTTAGAACGCAAATAGTGTTTATTAAATACCAAACTATACATTTACGATTTACCGAGTAAAAATATGTCTAGAAATTAATATAATAAATAGATACCAGGAGCCAGGAGGACTTGTGCGAAATATTTACACTGCCCATGTGCTCATTATCTAAACATTAACACCTCGAAACCTTTTATAAACATATACACGTACGTCGTATACACTATAATATTATGCCTATAACATTGTTATTGACAATCATTATTTAATACGATTTAAATTTTATTAAAATAATATTTCACAAAACTTCTTGATGCTAAAGAACATAATATTATTTAAAACTATTTTTGATTTATTTAACGCATCATATTCGCCAGTCATGTAAACAAATTAAACATTTAGAGCAAGTAATATCTGCTCATTTGAACAACTAACTACTATTGAAAATTTAAATCGAATTTCACTGACATATCACTATGCTATTGATACGGTCAATCAGTTCTTTGAAGGTACTCCGAAGGTTCATGTCGATGACCAATTGTGTATTAACGATTACGATGCTAAACAATTTGTTATATGTATATCTATGGGGAATATTAAGATTTACGTATAATGATGTTTAATTGATTTTGTTGTATGAATGGTATTAATCCGGACAGTTATTGTATGACGTTGCTCTATTCCTTATTATTATAACTACTGCCATAAACCGCCTAAGACTGTACGCGTATGGGGATTTTATTATGGAAAAAAAATGTAGTATAAATCCATTGTTTCTTTAATGGCTTCGGCCGTTTCAAATAACTCTAGTGTTTATTGCTTCACAGCGTACACAATTTCGTCTTTTGAACATGAAAGTCGTAAAATATGTTTTTGAGAACTATTAATTAAGGCGACGCACCCTAAATAAAAAAGTATTTGTACCTGTAGTATTTTGGTAGTCGTCCTGGCGCCTATCATGTTTTGAGACTGTTACGGTCTAACGCGCGCAGATGCTTTCTGGCAATAAGAAACGAACGGCTAATAATAAAAAAAACATATTCTATTGTATGTGAAAAAATAACAATAATAAATAAATAACAACCGCAGGTAATTGTATTAGGTATACCGACATAGTACCTATTTATTTTTTCTTATACATTCTGAACCGATTTTTTTTACTCTCGAGTTAGTATTTAGTTGCTAGGAAGGTAATATGTAATTCCTCAAATTATTTGTTATTCTACTTTTGAACTATAAATTCATTAGTCGTACAGGGCACACAAACATCTAGGTATTTACTTGAAGAATAATTATTTTTTTCACTCAATGTTGAAATTTTAAGATGAAATTCTAATTGTAGATGTATATCATGGGAAAAATAACCTATATTGATTTATTAAATTATACATACACGTAATTATTTTTAGCATTGAAATCACTAAGTTTGATTAATGGACAATCGATGGCATCTGTGTCTTATTGTTAATTTCAACACGGGACTTTACAGAGACATCAGTACTATTCATAACTTTAAACAAAAATAGAACAAGCATACTATAAAAAGACATTTCTGCCTTCCATGGCTTTATATTATTTCTTTAAATAACTATGATGTGACAAATTAACAGTGAAATCTATTATACCTACTACGCTTGTTACAAAACAAGAACACTGTTAATTTATCAGATTACTCGACATTTAACTTTTTTCTCATATACTCCCGCCGCCGCAGCAATTAACAGGTTAATAGATATGTTTTACGACAATTCTCGTAAAAAACCACATATAATATACTAAGGATTAATGTAGGTTTACATAAGAAGTAGTCGTTCGGAGAGAAATGTCGGTGATTGTCTTTTATCGAAATCACAATTCGTTTTGACCATTCGGTTGTGTTACCCACTGTTCACCGGTGCAGTTGGTGACTATTTCCACAGCAGCTGTCTACTGAATAAAATCATAACGAACGGTTGTCATCGATGTGACTACACAACCTTTTATGGCAGTTTTCTCGATCTCGACAAGATTTATTGCTACAGGACAAACGCAACGTACCTATATATAATTTATAATAATAATAATAATGCGTATTTTATTCGAGAGCCTATGGTAGAATGATAATATGTAATTAAATAGCTGCACAACGATACGGTATAAAAACGACATCTTAACTCCTTTATTGTTCTCTGCCTATTATTTCGAACAAAGACTTCACTCTAACCTAAGCCATAAGACAACATAGACGTATAACGTAAAAATATCAGATCTCGGTGAAAATTGTGCGGCGTCCCTAATAATGACAATAATAATAATTGTATCATTAACGTTACAGGCAATATGTGGAACGGAGCGGCCGGTCGCACGGGAAGCAGAGACTCGATGACTCAGTGATAGTTTCCGCAAAACAGCGGAAGAAACAGTCGTCGACGGCTGACCGACGCGGCACACGGTAGAACCTGAGCAGTACTTAGCTGTCTTAGCGACGGTGGTGTCACCGTGTACACACACCACATAACTGAGGGGACAGTCACATGTCATCCGCGGTGGACGGACAGCAACAACAACAGCCGCTGGCCGGTGGTTCGCCGCCTATGTCAGTGGTGTTGACGCAGCACTGCTGCAAAGAAGAATCATCGCCGGGCGTATCGCCGCCGCACCCACAGACCGCCATGTCGCCTACGACCGTCCAAGACATGCCGCCCGAGAGCACGTCACCCGTGATGCTGGCCACCATGCAACCGGTGAGCGTGGACGAATTCCAAGCGTCCGATTATCACCATCAAAACCACCATCAGCAGCAGCAGCACCACCACCACCAACAGCAGCATCAGCAACATCAACACCATCACCAGCAGCAGCCTGACGATCCGCTGGACCAGAAGACTGTAATTTACATACCGGGCACCGATCCACAGCAGACCATCATCTACGATCCGCAGAACCCCGAAGGGTCGTTGCCGCCGGGCATCACGATCCAGCAGGATCCGGTCAACGGTTCAGCAGTGTCCGTGTTGGTCCAGGGGCAAGCTGGACACCACCAGTACCTGGGAGCTTCGGGTACCACCGTGTTGGTCATGCAGGAACTGGTCGACGACATGGGTCACATATTGCACAGGTTAGTCTAGCAAATTGATAAGCATTATATTAGTACCTAAATACCTAATACTTAGTATATAGTCTGGTATTAGGTTTTATGTTTCTGCGAGTAATTATGTACCAGACCGGTCATATTATATAGGTTAGACAAGTATTGTATTAGCGTACACCTTATAGAACGAGGTTTCTTAGGAACCTTTTATTGACTTAAATATTTTGTAGTATATTATTAATTCATAATTTATAATCATATATAATGTATTAATATAATATGTGTGTGTTACGGCAATGCCAAAAGTATCTAATGCCGGAGTAGCCGTGAGGTCGTTGAACGCGTCGCGCGCGCGCGAAACTAGCATTGCGAGTATGTTGAACCGACATTGCCGCCGCGTTCACAAATGTCAATCTCGCGTCATTCGTTTGAAAGTTTTCCATATAATAGTGATATAAATCGTCGCTAAAGTATAATACAGTTTGGCGAACGTCTTTAAGAGGACGGCCCACCAGCATGATGTGTATTATCTCTGTTTTACGCGTACAACATCTATTTTGTGTTCAATGGATCTGAAAATGTGTTCTATAATATTATAATTCATTGACTTATGTCTAAATTATTTATCTGTTTCTACTTGGCTTTTTACAATTTTTCAGTTTGTATTCGATATATATAAGTATAAGAGTATTTTTAAATTTTAATATTTTGCATGCTCATATATCGCATCAAAATCAGTGACGTATATATACAAATTATTTTCAGTATAGGCCAATTTTGGCAATTTATCACTAGTCAAGCATAGCACGACCAACATAGCCATAATTATACATTTTTTAGGGAGTTGGGTGGTTATAATTATGACATATTATACAATACAAAAAAAATTGCGCAATTTAATTGTATTACTATTATGTAAAATTAATTTTTTAATTCTTCTTTAAAAAAATATTGACTGTTTCATATATTTATAAATATTTTAATATTATCTTACTACGAATTTAACATCAGTCATCAAAGCAAGTCCTACCAATCTAACATTTCCTTGTTGATTCTTCAAACACGATTTTAATCAGCCGGCTAAATTAATCATGGTGAAAAACTGTAAACAGTGTAGATATACAAGCAATGCTTTAAGTGAACCTGCAATTTCACTACTGGCCTAGGGAGTCTCCCCCCTATATACGCCACTGATCAAAAATATTGAAAAATCGTAAAATGCCAACGAAATAACAGATAATATTCTTAACTGTATGTTTGATAAAAGGTCAATTCACTGTAATAATATAACTGTCTATTCAAGATTGCTTCAGCTGAGCGTAAATGTAAATTTGTTAGATTGTACGTTTGTAAGATGGAGACAACAAAACTTTCTCATAAAGTAAGGGAACAAAATATTATATTATATTAAATCGTTGCATTCGAAAAATGATTGTACGCAGATAGCTATATTCAGGTAAGCCAGGATATACATGAGTATCTACTGGACCACGCGAGAACGATAAAGATTTATCTTTAATACGGACGCTTTTCACTCGTTCACGTTTCTTTGGGGGTTTGGTTTTGAGATTATATTGTAAATTACCATATAGGAATGTTTTTAGCAGCGTCTTTTCTGGAGTGTCTGCAAATTAAGGGTGTGTTAAACCAAAAGAGACGACGTGCGTTACAATATCGTCAAAATCGCTCAACGTCGGATTCTTAAAGCAATCGAACACTTTTCGATCATCGATCAGTCGAAAATATAGCATTGGCTTGATTTTCAATTGACATCCATCACTATAGATTTCGATCAGCAATCGAAATATATTATAATATGGCTATGTATGAATAATATGTAACGTTCGTTCGTCCAATAGTAATTATTACAATAATACATAATACTATACTAATCAGCGTGTGCGTGCTGTAGTTCGGCGCGTGTGTGTGTGAGTGTGTGTATTAAAAAGAATTAAACGTAATCATTCCCAAGGTCGTTACTGCTGCTCATGAAAGTTCAACATAATATTCCTATATAAACTGCATGGCAATAAGGCAGCCGCTGCGGCAACAATATAATAATACATATTATATTATGTACAGACAACGAATCGCGCTTGTTACGATGTATTTATATGTATATAATATACAACATATTGTTATAAGCACGCTCACAGTGTCTATTTATATTAAAATATTAACGCTCACGTATTACTCCGTTGGGCTTATATCGTCCCTCCACCAAGTCCGCCGTCTCACTCTACAGCTTTAAGGTGTTTAATATACCTCCGATATAATACGACATCCAATATATTTAACGATAGTAAAAAATGTGACTTAACGATTCGGATCAACATTTTCGTTGATAATATTATGAGTGTGAAATAAATACATACTCACACATATATTATACTTAAAATAATACTCAGAGTCTCCGACATAAGTTTCACTTTAATTCGAGTTTAATACAATGCCCGGGGAAATCTAGTGTTTTGTTAAATGCGCGGTAGATATATACATATATAGGACAATTTGATGTGTAGGTTTAAGCCAACACAATGGCTTGTACGCCGACGGTTGACAATGTATATAAATATATTATACCTACCGGTACCAAAGATCCACGGCGATTATTATTCAAACACAAAACACGCCGTCGGAATCGGATAGGCAGACGATAAAACGTTTTTTTATTTTATTAATGATATTCGGTAATTGTAAAAAAAAAAAATCGAACGCGTTTTCGCTCCAAGCTCGTCGAACGAAAAGGAAATCGGCCGATTGTAAATGTTCACTAACCGATGTTTACTTATACATATATGAATGTTTCATGTATTTAAACTGTGTTACCCACTTCTCACCTTATCGATGGATGCAGTGGCGGCAACATTCAATCAGAACTTAATAGTTCGGTGCCGGTAATCAGATAATGCATTTATTTTTTATCGTGATTCGTTTATTGATAACAGCGCTCGGGTACTAGGTTGCCGTGTCGTATACCTTTATATAATATTATATATATATTGAGTTAAGTGCACCTGCCGAAAACGCCTTACCTGCAGCTCTCTGTACATATATATAATATAGCGGCTGTCATTTTTCGACAAATATATTTACTCCCCCTGATAACGAATTGCTGATAAACATGTTCAAATAAAATATATCGATTATCATGCTGCAGGAGCTGTCATGACTTGCTAAATAATTTTCCCATATTTTAAAGTCTGATATACCTAGCGTACCTAAGTACCTATAAATATATACCTCACGCACTGGTAATTTGATGTAGTATATTTATTGTATTTGTTGATATATTTTTTTCATTGAATTACAAGTAGGTACTGATAATTTTTCACAGAAATGTTAATTTTCGAAAATTAATCATCTTACTTTTGATAAATTATTCTAAAGTATATCTACAGAAATAATAATGTCTAGAGCAATAATGATGACCCATACTTTCGTCTATAACACTCTACGTAGTTATACCTGTAGAAAGCATTTGTTTTGGGAAATTGACTTCTAGTGAGGGTATATAATTATATTCTTGAAGATATTGATGTAATTATGATGACTAAGTGGCTCGATACAAAATAAGTAATGATGGTCTGTTGAAGCCTTCAAGGTAACGTCAAATGTTATACTGATGGTTTTTTATTTTAGTCAGTTTAGGAGATGACGTAATGAGAACGACGGGTACCAAGTTGTCAGACAAAAAGGGTAGATCATATTAGTAATAATTATATCTAATTGATTATTTTCAAGCCTTAATTCGTAGAGCCTGTACTTGTACAGGTACAATTTGAAAGTATGTGATTTCTCATATACCTATCTGCATAGAACAATAATTTGTAATAAGTAATAATTAAAAACAATTCGATATATTTGACAATATTTTAGATAAAGGATAATGTTTGCTGTATACTGTACATTGTATATTACACAGCTATAAAAACGTTGACCAACTAAAAATAACTATGGAGATGGGTGTCGTAGCAGCGGTTATATTTGAAACGAGACTTGAACGAACGAGCATAGTCGTGATATTAAGGTTGACCTCAATTATATGGTAAACATATTATGTATAACGACATTGATCCTTCGTAGGCGGCTGCCAATGTATTTCGTACGAAATTATGTGCAGAAATCGTTGATGAATGTGTATAATATACAATATACATATTAAAGAGATCGCAAGGTTACTTAATTGATCATCGAACATATACACGGAAGGGGGAGGGGGGCTAACCTCACCCAGATCTGTAAAAATATATAAATTATGTTTTCGTATATTTTTGTTGAGAGTTCTCAAATGTTCAATTACATACAACATTATTTACTCTATACACGCTATAAACCTATATTGTTGGATCTTCGAGCGTTGAAGTCCCCCGATGACGGCGGCACTATCATACGAATAAAAATGTTTTCAAACATCATCCCCGCGCTGTGGCATTACGCATTGTATATTAATTGTATACGACCGTTAACTCATCAACCCTTAGCGATTAAAATTATCTTTTGTTTTTCATTCATTCCCCTAGGGTGTAGCATGCAGAATTAACATCGCGTGTCAATATGATTAATACCTAGGATATACCGCTTGGTACGTGGGTTTTTTTATTTTTAATCTCTCCTCTACCTTTTACTAAACATAAAATCGTCTGTTACGCAAAACCCACGACCACTTGCAACAGCCCTACCAGCTATATCGTATTCTTGCAAGAACGATGTATACCTACGATCATCGTCGCCAGACTTAGGTACTCGTCGTAAATACAATATAATAATACATTTATATGCGTTTTTTTTCTTCCCAAGCCAGTGCAACGACGAGGTCGTATTCATTCGGTCGTCGTCGCATGCGCATTGTCCAATGTTCTATTGTGTTTTAAATTAATATATATGTAGATAAGCGTGGTTCCGATATAATCACAATAATGCGTGCACTCCGCCAGTGCGATATCTGTTATCGATTAAATCGTTTTTCTTTTGAACACGGCATCACGTAAAATGTATAATTATTGTTCCCTTGAAACACTTAGGATGCGCCCATAT